AGATGTTTGCGCTTAACTCAAATAATTAACACCAATTCTCGARCTGGAAATTAGTTTAGTAAAGAAATAGTATTTCGCAAATAAACACCAAMTTGTGTAAAGTGCAGGTGATCATAGTAGAAATTCAAATAAGTTGCAACCATGTTACAAACCATGTTTTGCTAAACATTATCTTACCAAATAAGCTTACCTGCGTTGCGGCCGTGTCAGACCCTCTTCATTACTCTTTACAATAACTAAAGTGACCCTGGGTGTTATAATTAGTGCTTACTTTAGTTCTATATTGATATATTCTTGGTCTGCAACCACATGACCAGGAATTCCCTGAGAAGTAAAGAACAAAGCTATTGCTGCCACGTTGAACGAAGAACAAGAGAAGCTAATGAGGAATGCTTTGTGATCTTCATCCAACATGGCGGTGATGACGTAACTTACAGGCCAATAATACTGTACCTAGGGAAAACCTATCTCATGAGTACAAGACCTATTTTTGCAGTTCGTCGCAGGCAACAAAAGCCACTGACCGCTTTGTCTGTTTCAGATTCTGCTTCAGAAATGTGCAACTGCAAGCAAAGGTAAACATGCACACTCTTCACCTTTTTTTTTAATCTTAAAAATGTACATTGTCCACATTGCTTTGGCGGTTGGCAATAACAGAGGCCGTATCTATTCCGTAAACAAAACACAATGATAATTGCTATAAATTCAGACCAACAGTACTGATTTTAACTWTTCTGACAATGAATGGTACGACACAGCAATACACCTCACACAAATTCAGTTAATARTTAAATTTACAAATGTTTAGGTCTTATTAACCGAGCGATCGAGCGCAGTGAGGTCTGTACGATGATCTAGATTTTTCTATTTAGACCAAGCACGYTCGGTTAATAACAGTTTTCTTATATGACACTTTTTGGTTAAAAAGTAATCCAAATATAACAAAAAATTCAAATGAGTTAAATCGTMTACGCTTTCAACGTGGAACCTTATAGCCGTCTGAAATTTTGTCTAAATAATAAAACTCGTCTTCTATTCCATAATTTTTGCCACTAGAAATAGCGACAAATTGAATTTCGATGTTGATKTTTGTGTTTCTGGTATGTTTTTACGTGGTAAGTTAACTAAAAGGGTTTGCAAAACTTCAAAAATKGCAAGCGGAGAAGCATGTGCGGTCTACCTAAGAGATATATATCGGAGAAAAATCGAGATCAACCCATAGAAACAAGCCATATACACGGTCKTATAATATAAAGACATACGATAGCAGTGAAATCAGCGTGTTTGCATTTTTCTAGATTTCCCTGAACCCGTGGTCTTTCTTCCTCTAAACAAAGAGTATGGCACACGAGATATCAGTAAAAACTACCTAACAACAACAGCCAATGGTATTGCTTTGGCTCCTGGACCAGATGGACAAGCTGATGGTTCTTATGAATTTCCTGGCAACGCTAACGGATATATTGAAATTCCTAAATCGCGCAAAACTGACACTAGGTGAGACTGTTTATATCCCATTGCTGGCCGCCTTTCCATAGCATCAGACCCGACAAAAGATGTTACAGTATACTGTAATGTATGCAGCAATTTAAAAAAWATATGTTAAAATTTCTAAAGCTTTTACACCTGACACCAGTTGAGGTGATACTCCCGGCCTGATATCCTAGTCATCTCTCAAAGAACTAATTTAGGACAACATATGCATACAAAKTTTGCATTTGTATGTCCAGGTGCATAGAGTTAATCAATTAGCAGGCACACGGTATACACGTGAGTACGCGCAATACTTTGTAAAACTTGTCTTGCACAGTACAGATGATTATAGGTAGGTTTTACGCGAACGCTTCAGATTGTGGAGACGTATTTACATTGGTTACGACACTKTGTGATAGAGTAAAGATCTTTATCACCKAGAAAACGACTTATAAAAGGTCACAAATAGTACAATTTTGTTGTTTAGAATGAACACAAAGTTTTTTTAATTTATGTTTTTCATCACGCACTCTTGCTTGTCAGCTAAAGTCACTTTTCAAGTATACACTTCTGAAGTATTTGTCGGTGGTCACGTGTTTTTGATTCACACTGTCCGACAAAACAAATGTTCCTAAATGTCTCGATATCGAGATACACGTTGCCTTTAGCATATATTCAATAATTTTTCACCCTGATGACCAGTTTGTACATCTTTAGGCACAAAATATCATTCTTCACTTGGATCTTTTACAAAGGCACTTATGGTCCAATTCTTAACTATGAAACAGATGACATTACCTGGGGTCTCCACATCTTCACCGATGTCAACAAAGCGAATACATTTTTTGTTTGCTTCGTATCTCGATCAGACATGACCAGGTGTAGATACAATCTGGAATATACTATTCACAAAGATGCATGGAATTTTGCTGGGTTTTCATACGACAGCACCGCTAGAAAAATGAAGCTTTATGTCAATGGGGTAGTTACAGAGAAAACCGCAACAGAGACTTTTGAACTTCATACAGAACCAAAAGTAAGAATTCGGAGGTTTTGTATAAAACTGTTGCATTGATTGTTTTCAGCCATCCCTATGAGATTAAAAAGACCAAAGACGGGCGGGCATGTTGTAGGAATGGGCAATAAATACTAATTAGACATATTTTGCGGTTGAAGTTCCTCAAAGATTGCCGCTGTGACGTAACGTGAATTCAAAACGAAGAATCGCGACCTMGAAATTCAAACAAATTCATTYGCCAGATTTTTAGTTTATTCTGGGACCGTCGAATACTATACAAAAGGTTTCTAAGAAAAAAACCCTTTCAGTCAGATTCTTTTATATACGCAAATTTCTTATGGTGATGACATTTTATTGTGCTGAAGTATTATAATCGATAGCGCAGAGCTTCGCCACAAATCCTCGGAGAAGCCGACGGGTTCCTGGGAGAAATATATCTGTTCTTATGTCCCAGCCAGCTGTAACTCACAACTGGTTAAGGTTGCCAGCGAGAAATTCAGGAAAAAAGAACTCTCATGGCAAGTAATACTTTATAAGAATTTTTGCCAGGAAAATAAATATTTGCTAACTAAAAAAATATAYAACGTTTTTGACCTTAAAAACGTTATATAAGCCTTTTTTGACCTTAAAAACGTCTTGCAGGAACAGTTATTTTAGAGAAGAAAGGGTTCCACATTTGGTTTTGAGATTGTCGACAATGTAGCTCAAAAACCCTTTCCCAGGAAAAAATTCGTTACAAGAACAATTGGCTCCTCCTACAAATCTCAACGCACGAGATTTCACCAAAAGCTTGTTTGMAGTTACCTTTAAAAAYCAAACATTATACCAAGGGTATAACGGAAAAATCTAAGTAATGGAGAGGAAATTCGTCCAATGATATGTCTATAGTAAATAAAGTTTGACTCTGTTTTGTTGTGTCATTGGGCTCTCTGACTCACTGATGTTCGTTTCTTCTCGACGTTCCGACGCTATTTGGGTCGTCATCTTCAGGATCTTGATTGAATCTTTTTGACGAGTGGCTTCCAAAAGTCAATGTCCGCATGAATATTAAATAGGATCTTTTTGCTGTTTTGAGCTTTCACGCTCTCCAGGGACTCCAGGTAATTTCTTTTGTCGGTGTTGGTCTCCTGGTTTATTATCTTGCACTTGTCCCATTGTATGTTATGTGGGCATATCTGATCATGTTTTGCAAGTCCTCCATCTCCGGTGTTCATTCTCCTTTCAGCTTGTTCGATTCTATCTTCATCGATGTCTTTTCTTGTTAGTCTAACCTTGCTTTCATGTTCTTTCCTCCTTGATTCCCATTTTCTTCCAGTCTCTCCTATGTATTCGTATTTTTCAGCCCAATGAGACAACAAAACAGTAATTACACTAAACTCACCAAAAAGGGTTTCAGATCTACAATTAAAGTTTGACTCATTATGCTTATGTATCATATCATAGATTCGAATTGGAGGGACAAAGAATATAGTGCATTCAAGCAATAAGGGATTCGCTGGACGATTGTCGTGCTTTCAAATCTATGACACGGCATTGACAGAAGAACAAATAAAGAAGATCCAGCAATACTGTGATAGAAATGGTAAAGTATGATTAACCCTATTCAGACAGGGGTAGGGGATTGCGTGCCTTCCTACGGGCAAAATGCTAATAGCTTTTGAACCAAGARWGCCTCAGCGCTAAAATTTTGGACTTTTCCTAATATTATCTTTGCGCACTTTGGTTGGTGTCAATGTCATGTCGTTGTCCAAGGCAACCAGGTTTGATCACAACCATWTTCTTAAAAGTAAATATTTATTGAATTTACATTTTTAAGGCCTATGTCTATATAGTCGAGCTTGCCCCTTTTGTTGACTCGACAAATTCATAGTGATATTTTGACTCCAAAAATGTAAGGGGAGGCGTTGTTACATTTTGTTCATTTGCGAAACTTCTATTATTWAAACCATACAACATGTATTCCATACATGTTGTCCCCTATTCCCTTCAATCTTAATTTGGCAGATCCAAAGATGGCGGATATTCTTATCAATGAATTGATCTTATTAACTTACATTATTACTTTCTACCCCATCAACATATCTGTCTTGCATATCAGATATCTTCAARCCTTGTTTTGATTATAAATTGCTTGATATCAACAACCGACTTCTGAACCAAACATTTACTCAAGGGACTAAAACTGACAAAGCCAAAGTCAGTCGCATTCACTGGCATCGCTTAGCGGGAAAAAGAATCATTTCGTACTGTCCAAACTCTCATGGTTCTTGTGGAAAACAGCCTCCAGGATGGATTAACGGTCAATATCCAAGGCTGGAAGATGGGATCAAAACAATGGAATTGTGCTATCGTAAAGACTCTGATTGTTGTGCCTTCAAAGTCAGTGTGCTTGTGAGGCAGTGTTATGGATATTACGTGTTCAAGTTTGATGACTTTCCGGTTGAAGGCCGATTTTG